TTCACTGGCTCGAACATGGTATTATATTTCCTTCGAGTCACATGACCTGTACTCGATGACTATTGGTAACTTCGGAAATGCGCTAATTATAGATAATCAGTTATGCCTGGTCTTGTGGCAATATTCGTTTTTTAAAAAGGATTTTAAAACCTACCGAAAATCAAGTTTTTTGAAGATTAAGTTTTTTCCGGCTATTTTCAGCTGATATTAAAAAATTCCCTATTTACTTAGAACGTATCAGAAGGACTTCAAAACTTCAGAAGACGGTGAATTTTCTCTGCTAGATGTGATTATAAAATCGAAAAGCTTGAAAAACGATGTTTTTGTCCGCAGGTTTTCTAGAAACTCATGCTAAAACAAAAGCGTTTTATAAATTGTTTGTTGTAGATTTATTATAAAATAGAATATAGAATAGTCTAAATACTGTATATGCTGAAGTTTTGAAGTCCTTCTGATATATTCTAAGTAAATAGGGAATTTTTTAATATCAGCTGAAAACAGCCGGAAAAAACTTAATCTTCAAAAAACTTGATTTTCGGTAGGTTTTAAAATCCTTTTTAAAAAACAAATATTGCCACAAGACCAGGCATAACTGATTATCTATAATTAGCGCATTTCCGAAGTTACCAATAGTCATCGAGTACAGGTCATGTGACTCGAAGGAAATATAATACCATGTTCGAGCCAGTGAAAATCAATATATCGCTTAACTCTATTTATTCCGGCCTATTAGTCCATGAAAAATATCAATATAGTCCTATTGACATTTTTTTAGATATAGCCGCATTTTCTCGAAATCTCCAAGAAAATATGTGATATTTATTGGTAAAAACAGTAAATAGAAGACATAGAAATCATATTCAGGGATAACGGTTACTTTAACTAATTGTGACAAAGATTAATCGGACGAACGAACGCAAGTCATACGAACATTATCATAATTTTTTTTTTGTTACGAAAAAAAGACGTCATATTTCATTTAATAAATTTGTATTGGATTTCATAATAACGTCCTTTAAATAGATAAAATGGTGAATTTTCTTGGTATCTCTACTATAAATATTACTTATCTTTTGAATATTTATTAGCTCATTCGATGTCAAAACGTTTCAATAGGAAGAGATTTCTTAAACAAAATCATATAATGTAGTTTAATTAAATTAGAGTAAACGTTCATTTCTCTTCATTGCATAAGATAACAATTACGAACAAATAAACTCTAATTCAAGTGATATATGTCAGGCAAGCAGCAGTAATGTAGTAAGGAGCAAATCAAGTATCTCTTTTTCTTCCTATCTATCTGTTCTCTCTCTCTCTCTCTCTCTTTATAAATATCTATAGCCGATATTTGTTGTAATGAAATGTGCAGCTAATAACATAAGGACATATTGTCTCAAAATTGAATTAAAGAGATTTAAATAAACGTCTCTCTCTTTGTTTAGTGATGCGAATACGAGAACAATTATTCTTTAAAATACGAAAACGTTCTAAATTAAGTCAGAAGTGAGAGCAGAGCAGAGCAGAGAGAATATGGTTACTATTTAAATACATTTTATATTCATTGTTCAATCAGTTGATGATAGTAAATGAACAACAGAGAAGAAGAAGACGAAGAAAAAAAAAGAAGAAGAGACAACATTACATTCTATTTTTCTCGATTTAAAAGTCAATATTTATATAAACACCAATGTTGTGTTGTTCTTCTTCTTTTTTTCCCATCACCATTGATAGATCTATCTGAAATAAGAATATTCCATAGAGTTTTAAACATACTTCTTTGATCTTTTTCTTTGTTTTTGATCTTAACATCTGTTTAAAGTCAGGAAAGGTAGACTTTTGAGAAACGAGATTTCTTCACTACTTTACAATTGCAAAATACCTTTTCAAGTATCTTTAAATGAGTTCAAAATCTCTATGCGTTATTATTATTATTATTATTACTATTACTAAATAAATAAAACTCTTATCATGGATTCTGTAGGCACACTTTTTTTTTGTCAATGATCTTACTTTATCCATAAGATTATTATTGAAAATTGATTGGAATTTAGAAAGATATTTGATACATTTTTAACTTAGTAATGTATTGAATCTTATGATCTCGATAAAATAATTGTTCGTATTACTATTAAACAATATAAATAAAATCCACAATTTATGTTTATCTATTGTTAAACGAAATATTTTTATTTCGTTTAGATAATATAATAATTAGTATAATACAAAATATATTTTTTTGCCATCTGTACTTTTATGTAGCTTTGTTTTTACTTTCCTACTCAACGATCTATAATATTCTATTTTTTTTTTGTTTTGATATTCTAGAAACACTATGAAATATTTATTAATTGTATTTACGGCCGGAATCTTATTTCTGATGATTAAAATTGGGGTTTCAGGTAAATAAAAATTTTCATCATTTTTTTTTAATATAAAATGATATTTTAAATTTTAATTCATATTTTAGATGGAACATTGGTAAAACAACCGGATAATCCTTCATCACTAGAAACATCTAATTCTTATCTTGACAATGATATTGACGATGAAAATAATGACTATTATTTATCAATGCATAAAAAAGCGACACCATCATCACAATTGATACCTCAACCATTGAGACGTCATCATCTTAAATTTGGAGTATTGGGTAAACGATATAGTCGATATGGATCACTTGGAAAACGAAATAATGATGGTAATTAATCTAGGAATTAACAATATTTTTTCTACATTATATTAACTGTACACAGATACATACACTTTCTTTAACTTTATTTTTTAGATGATGATAGTTCACAGGAATGGATGATGCCATCGTATGGAATCCGCTATAGACGACGACCACAATACGGTTTATTAGGATAACCGTTTTATATTCTAAATTTAGCTGTGTACATTATACGGAACGTATTGCAATTTTTGAACTATTCAACGAGAAAAAAATCATTAAGGTGCGCTGTCAAAGTCTACAGAGGAATAATAAAAAAAAAGAACAATCGAGAATATTATTATTTTCACTAAGAATAAATCTTGTTTATTAAGTGACAATAGTTTTATAGTGAGTCAGATCAACTAAATTTTATAATGACGTATGATAACAGTCATGTGAGTCTAAAAGATTTCTCTAAGAAGTCAATTAACCTCCCCCCCTTATCCCTCCTCCTCCGCGATATTTAGTTCTTTGGAGAAAAAAAAACAACAGAAGACTAACTATATACTTCTACACGTGCATACAAAAAAAAAAAAAAATCGAGAGGAAACACGCATCAAAAATATTAAAAAAGAAAAAAAAAAACTATTTAACCCAGCACGTATTATATAAGTTGTTTTATCGTAAATGTATTAATAGTAAAGTATTTTTTTCTGTTTTTAACAAATATTTTCAATTGTTTTGAACTGATGAATTGAGATGTATGAACAAAACATTCATAGGCACCATAATTATGATTAAAAATATCTTCAAAATATAAATTGGATTTGACAATAGATACTGGTAAATTTCCGTGTTCAATTATAGACCATTGAGTATGACTATCTTCTAAAAGAAGAAAAAGAAGAAGAAGAAATGAAATAGAAAATTAAAAACGTTTTTTTTATTTTATTTGAAAAAGAGTTTACTTGAGTTGCATGTCGCTATTGATTGCATATCATGTACAATAAATTGTTCAGGATAATTAATATCTAAATTGGGAGAAGTTATCGAATAAACTAGAGGTTTATAATATATAGTTGAATTTTGATCAATTTTAATAAAATGAATAGTCGATGATAATTGATCTGTTTGACAAGTATATTTCCAATCAATAGAAATTAGAGAAAAATTTAATAGTAATCGAATATGATTACTGTTATATACGTGTAAATATTCATCGTCTACTGGTCTTCTCATACTATCAATCCAAGTCACATTTTTAGAGCCTATAATAGAGTTAAATTTAAAATGATAGATATATTTTTGAAAAAATGTTGATTAAATTCGAACTTACCATTGGCACTACAATCAATATAGAATCGACTTTTTATCGATAGTAAAGGAATTTGATTATACAATTTTAACGTTAATGATTGTAGATCTTTTGATCGACGAATTGTTCGCGTATTTTTTATTTTATATTGTTGATTTGATTCAATTTCTTTAAATGGTAATTTATGATCAGATAAAAGAAGATATTCTTTCATTAAAACAATATTTGGTGTTTTTTGTAAATTTAATTCGACAATCATAACTGCTGTTTGTTGTTTTTCTTTACCTATACATGCGTATTCTCCTTCATGTTCCTCACTCAATTCATCAATATGAATAATAGATGTTAAACGATTTTCTTCCGAATATTGAATACCTAACGGATATGATATACGATTGATTGGTGCCCATCGAATTTGATCAACTGTATCTAAAGAAGATAATAAAAACATATTTAAATAATAAAAAATATACAGATGAATAGAAAATAGGAACTTACTATCTTGTGTTCTACATATTAAATCTAAACTATCACCAATTTTTTTATTTGTTGAATCAGCTTCTAAATCAATATACGGTTCAGCTGTTATCGATATGCCAATTTTATCATCGGCATATATTTCACCAAAGTCAAGAATAACTTGTGTTGCACCTATTTCATTATCAGTTTCACATTGAACAAAACTATTGACCAATTTTAAACTGTGATTAATATAGAGCGTATTGCCATCTAATTGAAAAGGATATGTGGTCAAATCTAATTGAGATGACCATCGAGCATTCCTAGCAAATTTATCTAAATATAACAAAATGTCGATTCACTATGTAATCTGAGACAAAATGCTTTACCCGTATTTTCACATGATATATTTAAACTATCACCCGATATAAAATTCAACAATGATCCTTCTAATATTCGCATTCGAACACCGGGTTTTCCATCTAACTTTTGCCGTTCTTCATCCATTTGAATGTTTGAATCAATGTGTTTGTTATTCATATTTGGTATAAGTAAAACATGTTTCCATTGGATTAAGTAATGTGTCGAGTTCATGAATGATAGATGAGCAATTAGCTTCACTGTTGAGTAATTTTTATCATCGAATTGACACTCATACACACCTTGATGATTTTCTGCCACATTTGTCAATGTCAACATATTTCCATTCACTACCATTGACGATATTTCGTTATTATTAAGTTTTGTCCATCGTACACTTCCATCTGTAATAGAATAAAACAAAAATGCAATGAAATTATTGGCATTGAAGTCGTAGATTAACTTACCTTGTACTGGACATATTAACTGTAATTTTTCCATACGATATTCATAGATAGATGGTGACCGAATTCCATTGATGAATTTTAATTCTGGAAAATCAATTTCATAATAGGTATCATGTGATTTAACCTGAACTTCTATTTTTTCTGTTAATTTTTCACTATTTATTGTAAAACATTCATAAATCAAATCATTACTTTCAGCATCTAACTGTAATGTACCATTACTGGTCAATTGAACTCGATCCTTTGCTGTATTTATTTGATACCATTGAGTTTTAAATTCTAAAAGATTTTATTCTAGTGTTAACAATAAAACTCGAGGTATAACTCATTAGTTACCCGCTGGTGCATTACAATCAATAATTAATTGATCATTTTTAAATACGTTTTTCCATCCCGATTTTATGTTTAAATGGATCCATGGCACTGAACCATCCGTATAGTCTGGCATCATTAATGGCTGATCCAATTCTTGAATTTGAGATATAGTTTTTATATTATTATATGATACAATTTTATGACTTTCATTTCTATTAGCGGGTGTGATAGTCCATCGATTAATATAACCGTTGGCATTTGATAATGTTGAACTGAAATGTATTTGAATTTCTGTTGATCCATGTTGATTTGTTTTACAACTAAATGTACTATCACTACGATCATCTATTTTTATATTTAATAGTCGACCGGTTACATTGGCAATTGGCGGCATTACCGGTGAACCTTCGTAGAACCATTGACTCTCTTCATTACCTTCAACTAAATTTTAACATTTTATCTAAATTTGTATGTGAATCTCATCTAACTTACCCTCACACAACACTTTCATATTTCCACCTGGTATTGTTTCTGCTGTTAATACGTGTAAATGAGCAACAGATGTTGTTGATTCGTAAAGATCGATAAAGAATGTATCTTTAGTTCTTAAATTAAAGGTTAAAGCAGCATACGTTGTTCCATATTCATTTTGAATTGAACAATTATAAAAGCCAATATTCTTTGTTGAAACATCATTAATTGTGATTGTTCCTAACTCTTTTAGTTCATTGCCTAGATTTGTTGATATATTCCATGAGGGTTTTAATAATGATATATCACTATGACAATCAATTGTTAAATGTTCACCACGTTGAATATAGGTGGTTGATACTTGACGTTTAATATCAATTATTAATAACGGTAATTTTTTAAGTGAATCTATGTCACGATTATTAACATTACCAAAAACAGTTGTTGTACTATGTATACGAGCTTGATAATCTTCACCGATCTTTTCAAATAATATTTTAACATCTGAATATTCTTTATTATCATCATTTTGTGCATGACATGTCACTAGATCAAGAGCAGTATCTGTAAACGGTTCTATAATAAAGACGTTTTGAGCAATATTTACGCCATATTTGGATAAAGACGATGTTTTCCATTCAGCTTGTGATGATGAAAACAAACCGTCACACATCATTTCAAATCGTTCTCCAGCTGGGATAGGATACATTGAACGAAGAAAATTAATTTTAATTAATGGTGCTACATATGATTCGTTTTCATCATCTTCTCTCGTCTGTTTATTATTGATAAACTGTTCCATATAGGCTATAATACTTCCATTTGTCTCTTTGTCAATATTTAAAACAGCTGAGGATTGTGTTTGTTCACGAGTGTTTGAAGTAATGCATTCATATGAACCCAATTGTTCTACAGTTAACGGTTTAAATTGTAATAGTGGACCTTCGTCTAACGTCTCAGGTGAAAAGCCAATAGCATGATCTGATATACGTTGCCAACGAATTTTTGTGTGTATATCTAAATAAATTGAATATAAAAATTAGAGTTTTCTCAAAAAATCAATGACTTACCATAATCAGCTAAACATTCTACCGTCAATTGTTTTCCTAAACTAATATCTTGAGGATTTGTTGGATTAAAATCAAAATTAATTGATATTCCACGTTTTCTACCATTAAAGTGCGCAATAGTCGCTTGTTTTCTCGTCATTTTTTCGGTTGTAGTTGTAGTGTCAACTATTACCGGATATGTGGATTTCATTTCATCTTGAAGCCATGAAATTGGTTTAGACATATGATATTCAAATTTATATCTTCCAAAATCTACGTATTTACGTTCTAAATAAAAACGAATTTCACCATTACCAATTGAATTTGATGTTGAACAATAGTAAACGCCAACATCTTCCGCTGTTATAGGAGCAATGAGGAAGAGACCACGTTCAATACGAACATTGGAGGTAAACTTTTTGTCATCTGGACGATGCCATTCAATTCTGTCCGTTAAAGAATCTAGAAAAAAACAAAAATTATTATCGAGTTATGTACATTATCAAAAAGCACGAACCTGATACACATTCGATTTTAACTTGACGATTATTTTCTAAATCGTCTACTGTTGAAAGTACTTTCAACTGCAGTTGTGGTGGTTCTTCAACTGTTTTCGTCGTTGACTCTTGGCTAACATCAGTCGACAATGAAGAATAATAAGAGCGATGACTGACAGCGATCTGGTAGATTAATAATCCACTTTGATATACTTCACGTGGCTCAAATGAGATGTGAACCTCAGTAATTCCGTCTGTTTCTCTGGATTCTGCTTGACACAGAAGTCTGTTCGTATATTTTCGTTTAGAAAATGAGGCGATAACAAGGCGCTTTTTATCGATAACAATATCATGATCAGATGATTCGTCTAGCTTCCATATTGCCGGAGATGAGCCTTAAAAAAGATAACATTAGAAAATGCAACGTGTGTAAAACAGTTTTCAACATACTTAAACATTCAATTTCAATTGGATCTCCTTCACGAATTTCTAATGTTTGTGTTAAAAATCGAATATCGATACTTGGATAGTTGGATTGAATTGGTGTTAATAAATAGTAATCAGATAATGCACTCATTAATTCATTTGCTTCATTTCGTTTGATTTGAATACTTTTTGTTGAACTTCCTTGATCATTCGTACCAATACATCTATAGGCACCCAGATCGTCTGCTGATAATTGAGCAATTATTATTGTTGCATCATGCACCTCTTCCATATCATACCCTCTGTGCTTCTCAATTTCCCACTGGATTTCCACTGGTTTATCACCTATAACATAAAATGCATGCAAAAACAAAACAATTTTATTCGAAAATTAGATATTTACCATTGGAATTACAACGTAATTTTAATTGATGATTTGTTTCTGTTAATTCATTTAACGATGAATGTGGTTCTACTTCAATATCGATACGAAGTTTTGGTAACATATGATAATCATCGAAGGATGTTATCTGAGTATTATTATCATCATTAAAGCCACGAAACATAATTTTTTCTAATACAACAGATTTTTCACTCTGTCCATATTCATTTTGAACAACACACGTATATGTGCCAAAATTGTGAACATCAAATTCTTTTATTAATAAACGTTTGTTATCGAGTACAACATTGCTGGTTGATGATAATGGCGAACCACTTGTCTTTTTCCATCGAATAACAGCATTATCAGTGTCTATAAAACAAATATACAACAACTGCAGAACTTTATACATGATACCCAGCTCGGTTTCAGTAAAAATTAATATAAGTGCATTTTATTAATTTTTACTGAGAAATTCAGTAGTTCAGTTCTAATAGGTTTTTTCCTAAGGACGTTATTTACAGCGACCATCTCTTGATCATGAGTTAGAGTCACATTGTTGCATGACTAGACAACCTTGACTGATAAGTAGAATACGTGCCTAAAACTGAAAAGGATGCTGGATGGATAAGAATTTCTTTCCAGCAAAACTGTTGAAGTATGAAAAAATTTTAAATTAAATATTTGCCAAACACTTACTTGTCTCACAATGCACCTGAACATCTCCTCCTCGATGATATTCACTTGTTCCATTTAATTTCAGAATAATAAATGGTTTTTTATTACCATTACCATTGCCATTACCATTCCCATTCCAGTTACCATTATCATTACTATTACCGTTGCCATTAACGTTACCATTCCCGATATCGTTACTATTACCATTGACCGTTGTTTGAATTGTGGTACTTTCATATCTGTCTTCTTCCTTCTCTTGATTTGTATTAGATTGTTGATTTTCCTCGTTATAATTTTGTGGTGGCGACCGGGTATACTGTGTATAACTTCCAACCTGATATTCAATAATTCCATCTGGATTATGAGTTAACGTTATATTCTTTCGACTTTCACCAACGTCGTTCTTTACTATGCAGGTATATATACCTAGTTGTTCGAATGACAACTGGTTGAGTACTAAAACATCATCGTTTTCGATGTTCAATTGTTGATATTCATTGTCTGCTTTTGTCCATCGAAAATCACTTGCATTCCCTTCAATAGAAAAAACCTAAACATTTCGAAAAAGAGACATCTTATAAAATCATTACTATTTGTTTCACATCTTATTTTTAATGTATCACCCAATTGACGTTGCTCATGTTCATCTAAAACGACAATTGCTGCTGGTGGAATACGTGCTGTTGTTGTTTGTGTCATTGGTTTCTCATATTCGACATTAGTAGCAATAAGACGATCATTTCCAAGATTTTTTAATGAAAATGAAGTTACTGATGTTTGTCGATCATTAGTTGATAGACAACTGTACGTAGCTTCGTCGTCTATTGTTACCGGAACAAATGTTAATGTAGCAGATTGTTGAGAATAATCATCTTTGACAAACAGTGATCGTCTTACATGTGGTAACCATTCAACATAGGCTGTTGGATCTAGAACATCATCGATCAGATTTTCATTAGACAAGGCAAGGAGTACAAATACATTCGTTGCTACATTGAAAAATCCGAATTAGGTATAAGTTATCTGAGCACAAATTCATAAAAACTACTTTAAGATACCACTCTTGAAACGGTAACTGTTAAAATCTTCTCACTACAATTAGATTTGCTTTTAATATCTTAATACGGATATCCTTTGTCGAGAATTAAAGCGCGTTGGCATATGATTCTTTTTACCTTACCATCTGTTTCACAATCAACATATAAATTATCTTCCGAGGACACTAAACTTGTAGTACTTGAAAACGTTAATCGAATGTTTGGATATTGTCGCACACTGGATAATGGTGTTACTAAAGAGATAATGAAATTAGTTCCCAATATGCGAAAACTACTACACCTTACTTGTACTTGTTGTCAATTGCTGACCAACTGGACTCAGTATTCTCGTAGTTGTTGTTGTTGTTGTTGTTACAATTTCCTCTTCTTCTCCTTCGTCTGATTCTGGAAAAAGATCATTATCCAACTGGAACGTTGCTTCACCCATTTGAACGCCATATTGTTTAATTGAACATTTATAAACATTTTTAATATCTTGAGAATTTTCGATCGAAATAATTAATGTTTCATTATCTGTTTGCACGTGTGATGGTAATGATCCATTGACATATGACCATTCATAACCAATTCCAGTAGTTGTATTCACATCTAAATTAAGAAAATACGTCTTAGGACTTATCGTATTAAAAACACATAAGAAAAAAAGTGTGTGACTAGTGAGTATGTGAGAAAGAGATAGATGATGATGATGGTAATAATGATGGGCTCAGATACGTTAAATCAGATGAATAATCCTAAAATTAAAAAAAGAAAAAACATATTATTATGAAACATTTAATAGAACACTCGTTTCTCTTTTTCTTCGTATATAGTGAACGAATATCAACCGTAACTATTTCAAAATGATGTATTACATTCCATTATCCACTTGAAAATTTAAATCTAAATGAAGCATATATTGCAAAGTGGTGTGTGGAGAGCGAGTAAAGAGGAAAAAAAACGTTTAGCGTTCGAATTAGTTTGAACAGTACAACAATAACCTTGTCTTTTGTCCATGTCCATCTCTTCTGAATACTGGATTATTATATGAACACTTTATTCATTCATTCGTTCATTTATTCTTTTACTTGCTTTCTTCTTGTTTTATCCGTCTCATTCGTACAGGTCTTTTCTTTCACTGAATCTCTTTTTCTTATTTCTAACATTTACCTGTACAACGAATAGAAAAAACGCTTTTAATATCAAACAACATTCATTTCGTTGTTCTCAGATGTAATCAACGCTAAAGCTTGATGTTATTAAATGCACGAAAAATCTTAATCAGTGGAATTTCAATTTTCATGTTCACTAGTGTAAATTAACTTGAAGATGCATACACATGTAACACAAAAGATTTTCGTTGATTAATGCGCTGAAAAGATAATTCCAGTTTATAAAATATAAGAACAAGATTACAGCATTAGAAGAGCATTTTCAAACGTGAGAAAAAGTGAAAACATATCTATAAAGAGCCATCGTCTTAATGACTACTAAAACAGTTCGAGTGTAAGATTTTCTAGCAATGTTGTTTCTTCAATTACTGGCATATTTGCAATATCCTCCAAATGTTGTAATCTTGTTGTAAATTGAAATTTTCTTTTATAAGTAAGTATTATAATCAACAAAAATCTATGTTTTATCATATGTAAAATCAGAATCAGTATTTTAATTTACATTAGTCGAATCTAATATTCTACTGTAACAGATATACCAAGTTATTCAACTATAAGATTAAGTCTATCGTTATCGTATGACAATATACCTACTGCAAACATCTTGCGTATTTACGCACTAAAATCAATAGTAAATAACTTTCTTAGTTAACTAATATTTCCAATAAATTTCTTAGCTCGTCTTGTTATGCAGCGTATTAATAATTGTAACTAGAAGTATTATAAAAGAATATATTTTTATAATGTATGACTTTTACTCTATACATAGTTGTTAAAATTAGAAAGAGATAAACGTCTGTTTTGAGATATTTTTTTGTTTTGACGTCATCTTGTCTCTTTCATAAACCATAAAAATAATTTGAAGATATTCTTTTCTATGTATAAATAAATTGCAACTAATAATAAGTCATCATTTGTCAAAAAAATCATATTATCAAATTGCCGAAAGAAAGAAAAAATCTGATCTATTCTTCTTTGTAAATAGCCTTTCAAACTTCTCTTATTATTATTTTGCCTCAGAAATTTGATTGTATACGATATCTGTATAATATATTTGATACATTTGTATAGAAAGAGAAAATCCTGTGAATAATATGTATAAGATCAAAGGATTATGTGAAACTTGTACAGGAGGTTAGACAGTACTACATACTATAGATTTCTTTTAGAAAAAAATTAGTTATAATTTAGTATAACTACTATGCTTAATGGTAATATTGCATACTTCATTCGACAACTTACTTATTCAAATATCTGACATTCAATATAAAACTTGGAAGAAATAAAGTTTTTTTAGTTTTTCTCATATTTATTTTGTGCAATGATTCGAATGATTATTTTCTGCTATTTTATTGTGTGACATAAAAATGTTTATCTAACAATTATTTTTACTTTGTTGACTGTACGATAGTACTTTGCGTTCAAAAAAAGAAATTCACCTATTTTTGTTTACCCTTTACCTCTCTTCCCCTCCCCCTCTCCGTGAGTACGATTACCCCCCGGGGTACGTGAGTACCCCCCGTCTCACTGAAGTACGATTGTAAAAAATAAAGGAAGCATGGAATTCAAAAACTTTGGGAACATTTCTTGTAATGAACTCCATACGCTATCGATTGATTAAAAAAAATATTTTATTTTGTTGCTCTATCTCTGAAAACAATGAGTAACAAAATCAATAAGTTTGAAAAAACCACAAAAGTTGAATTTTTTTTAACAATCATTTTTCTATCAACAGGCAAGATACACCTTGGGAACGTATTGTATGATACATATCGACGATGATGTTCGTCACTGGTATCAATGCCTTTCGAAAGTTTCACAAAAGCTAGGTAGATAAGAGATGGTAAGCCATACAATAGTCACTCCAGTGACCATTCGAGGAGAATGACATGAAAGTTTGTTTGTCCTACATGTTGTTTTGCCTGTATATGTAATACTTATTGATAACTACGCACAGTTAGGTAAATAATTGATAACATTTATAAATACAAGCGTTATTTGCCATTATTAGATAGGGTACCCGGGGACCATATCCCGGTCCCGGGATCGAAACCTTTTTTAGCAGCACCAAGCCCGGACCATCCCGCCCCTGTCTGGGCATGAATCTAATATGGATATCAGGAGAGCAGCCGTTTTCAGTCTCGGCTGTGGTTCCGATCTTTCCAAAAAGAAAATTTGGGCCCTGAGAGTGGGACTGAGACCGTCTCACCCATGTCTAATAAAGACAAATAGCGTTTGTACTTATAATATCAATTATTTACTTAACTATGCGCCGTTGTCAATAAGTATTGTATATATAGCAAAAACGACATGTTCGAAAAAATGAACTTTTCACGTCGTTCCTCTCAATGATCACTGGAGTGACCAAACTACCCTGCACAAGAGACAGTAAGTCTAGTCGATCTGTCCATACCAATGGCATATTGGAGAGACTGATACTCTGTTTGGGTGGCTATTTTATCAGTGGCTCTTCTGGCATCGCTATAGAGGGTAAAGGATTAAAATTAAACAACGCTCTATTTCGTTAACAAATTGATCCTAGAACTAGAGAAATAAAAACTGAAAATATAGATACTAGCGAGAGAGAGAGAGAGAGATGATCAATCATTTTTATTTCAAAGATAACTATTTATTCCTGAGAGGTAAATTAAGAAAACTACTTTTATGATATTGAAAAGAGAAACTAGTAATTCCGTATTCTCAATTTACTTTAGAACATTCATATGTATGAGACTTCCTTGTTCTCTTTGTAATATGTGGTACTTATGAGGTCGAATTAGACTCTTTAATTAGACAATTAAGGAGAAAATAAATAAAAAGGAGAGCGACTCATTAATTATGATAATTACTCGATAATTTCTATATTGACAAATTGATGGGATAATATTGAAGGATATAATGAGTATATCGAGTAGACTCGTACAGCATCTATTGTTATTATCAAATCGTATAATTCGAAATTTTTGAATCTTTGATGACAATTGCTACACAGTGAGCATCCACATGAACAATTGGATAAAAAGTGAAAATTTCTAATCTCATTTGATGAGTTATATACCTTGAAATGTTATGCATGTTTTATAATAAAAAGAATTTTATAATATACTTTCGAACAATGAAAACACTCAAGTTAGGAAAATGACCAAAAACTTTGCTTGTTAGAGAAACTTAATATTTCTTCAAGATGAATGAGTTCTAAAGATAGAAAAATATTTTGACGATTAAAAGTGTGTGTGAACTTCATACTGTGAAGTTGGCTATCAATAAAGAAAATAGTCTTCCATTTGAATCGATGGATTACAGAGCGAAATTATTTTCCATGTTAATAAATTTTTCAAAAACAAGTCCATGGATGAGTGAAGTTTAACTAACAGTTAATGCAAAAGTTCTGCATTAATTTTATTTTTAATAATAACGGGCGGGCCATAAAGAATGGACCTCTCAGTATTTTGCTTATAACTTGGTTTGGATTAGTTTCCGAGACTCGATGTCTTTTTAAAAGATGCGCTGCGAAATTCTCTACAAGATCATACCTAAACTATAATTTCAGAACTTCAAGCAAGAAAACTAAGCCAGTTGGATGAAAGTCGAAAAAAATGTAAACTTCCTAACCTCAACATTTTTTTTGACTTGAACTTTTTCTTCTGCTACTATTTCAGCTAAAAAGTGTAGCAAAAGTGAGAACTCAGTTTATGTTTGGTACTTTCAAATGTGCTCTTTCTCGTGGTCTATAAAAGAACTTTTTTAGAGCAGATGGTGTGCTACAGAACGAGGTAACAAAAATACATCAAAAGTTGACAACTTCCCTGTTTCCAACAATGTGCTCAATCAAGAGACGGAAAAGATGATTGACGTTTGATTTTGCAGTTAGATAGAGACGAGTAATCATTTCTGATCAAAACAAAGCAAACCCGACCGAAAAAGCTTTTATTTTGATGGAGTTATGGGGCTTTTACTGAAAGCACCACTATACCAAAAATTTAAAAAATTAATGAAAAAATGCATGACACCCGATAGAGAAACTATTATTTCGCTGTGGCTTTTGATGTGAAAAAATTTGAAGTGTAGCTAAAAGATAGAGCGAAGTCAGGGTTACAAAATGGATAATTCAGTTTTTCTTACTTCCAAAACATTAACACAAGAAATCATTTTTAAGTTTAAGAAGTTTACTTTTTTTTCGACTTTCATCCAATTGGTTTAGTTTTCTTGATTGAATTTCTGAAATTATAGTTTAGGTATGATCTTGTAGAGAATTTCGCAGCGCATCTTTTAAAAAAGACATCGAGTCTCGGAAACAAATCCAAACCAAGTTATAAGCAAAATACTGAGAGGTCCATTCTTTATGGCCCACCCGTTAGCATTACGATTGAACATTATAACGGGTGGCGCAGAATAAAACGGACTATTTTGTTTCCTCTATAACTTCGTCAGTTTAAATCTGATCGGGCCAATTTTTTCCCATCAGAATCGTCATTCAATTCTCCACAAAACCATGTGTAAAAGATTTTTGTAAACTACAAAATGGCTAAGTTCTAAAACGAAGAAAAGAGGTCCGAATATCTTCAACTTTCAAGCACACAACCCTGTTTTTTCTAAAATTTGCTTTTCACGTGCAGAGCTACGAAAAAACTAAGTAGACCATGTTAAAGAGCATCAAATTCTGGCCAAGATTCACGTCGTTGAGAATTTTTTTGATCAAAAAATGAGTAAAAAATTTAGCATAAAATGTTTTCTCTTTTTCGAAAAAACTCTACTTTCATTTCATGTTTTTGATGCTTGCACGAAAACGCATGCCATTCAGTAAAAAAGCGTTATTTTTTGACGATTTTTTTTCTTTGAAGGCTAGTACGCTCGACTACATCCCTGTACACTCGTTCGAGTCATGCAAAGTTTTGTTTGCGGTAGGTTTTCGTGAAAACCCAAATTAGGACGAAAATATCGATTTAATAGGCGCAGGCCATTTTCAAACAAAATATTTTCAAGGATATCGGACAGAGCGTATTCGAAAATGCCAGCAAATGTTTCTCCCTTAATTTAAGCCTGCGTATAAATTGTCGAAACATACTCCAAATATTAATGCATTTTGAGCTGGAAAGTCGAAGATTTTCGGACTTCTTTTCTTCGTTTTAGAACTTAGCCATTTTGTAGTTTACAAAAATCTTTTACACATGGTTTTGTGGAGAATTGAATGACGATTCTGATGGGAAAAAATTGGCCCGATCAGATTTAAACTGACGAAGTTATAGAGGAAACAAAATAGTCTATTTTATTCTGCGTCACTCGTTAGAAACTTCATTAGTCTTTTGCTAGAAAGAGCAAAAGTGTCTAGTACACAAAAATATAAAAACATGTGTGATTGAAAATGTTTCTCAACAACTATAAAACATCAGAAAATTGTTCCTCATAGTTTTTGGCAATCCAAAGGTATTTATTTGATCTTTTTCGTTATCTGTTTTTCGATATTTTCGAGGACAACATGTATGAAAAATTTTTTATGTAGAATATAGGATTTTGAGCTACTTCTCTCTAGGAGTAGAATTTATTTTTTCGACTATGATCGTCAGAAATGAGAAAGCGGTAACGTCATAAGAATATAAGAAAAATGTTCATTTCCACCGTTATAAAATAGATACAAAATTTGTTTTTTTATGCAGTAGTAGTAGTGAACCTTTATGGTATGAAATCCTAAAAAGTCGAGTACAAAAATGAATCTATCTTATTGACTAGAATTTATTTGCTAAATTCGAAAAGGTTGTATTTATATATATAATACATAATACTCTTTCGAGAGTGTTAGCGCAAATATTTATAGATCATGTGTAGTTTACTTATTTCTGGAAAGGCAGCTTTCATTCTAAGGCTCGTCAAAGACAAACTTTTTTGAAGATGGAAAACTTTCTGTTTTTTCTTTTTATATTTGAATATGTGTTTGTATTGTGACAGGGATCTGTAAACACATCATAGAGTCATTTCTTATTTGAGTAGGGTAAGGTTTGTGCTTACGATTGTACCCTAAGGTTAATAAAGAGTTTGGTTGCTTCGACTTTTACCTCTGGTGTGTGTATGAGAAGGTACAGTAGAATGTTTTGTGCAGAAAACATTTCAGAGAATGATGCATCTATTCCAGCGAAAACTATCAATTCGCTCTTTGCAGGCAGATAGTAGGGTACACATACTAGTACCATTTTCTGATTGTTTTTGAACCACTACAGCACGTGAGATGGTTTATTGAGATAGTGCAAGATGGCAAATATCCTGCGAAATTCGGATACTTTTAACAAATGCATTTTGTAGAGCAAACATTTTTCTACAAAATGAGATGTTTCACAGCTCTAACAGAATCATGATAACTGATGTATAGCAGTTCTCCTGGATGTCCCAACACCAGTTAAAAACTGGTGCATACCTACTCGTACTCGCCCATCTCTGCTTACATTATGAGATAGAAGTTGGTCGCCCAGTACACTAATTTTGTTAGGTCAGCTAGAGTTAAAAATGTGCGTAGTTTTCCCTTCAGTGTGACGACACTGAGTGTCTCCGAGCGAGAGCGAGTACTACTTGAGTACAAAATTTGCAATACTCATGCTCGGGATTTTTTTGAATGAAAAAGTGCTCGAGTACTTGATTTTTGAAAAACGTTTTTTGCTCGCGTAGCTGCTAAACAAATTCTGCTACAGTGACTATGCTGAAGTGTTTTCCAATATTATTCCGCATAGAGTAAATGTTTTATAAAAAGAAGAGATTGATTTAATGACACAATCTTCTTTCAGATCATATTGTTATAACGCGGAAACACATAGTCCGTAGAAGGAGAATAAAAAAATTCTATATACGATGAGTGTAGTTAATCAATTTTTATTCCGCTTTTATACACCGTTGTTTTACCTAGGTCAACTTTAACGCTGAACTGATGGCGTGAATGCATCTGAGATCGCTATGAGCTCGCACTATCACATCATGATCACACTAGAATCTTTTTTTTGTCAAAAAACGTTGACCATGATTCACGATAAGAGTTTTTGGCGGAACACGATCCCAGATGAATCTTAGAACTCACGAAGTGAGTCACTATGCATGATTCTGAAGCGACAAAATTCCCACAGTCGCGATGTGAGCCACGGTCCAGAACTCATTCACCCTTTTGTTTTGAAGTTGAACTTATATAAGAGAACGAAAGGAACATCAGAGTTTTATTTCATTTTTTGTTCCAAATTTTAATTTTCTCATCAAGAGCCATGTTCTCAATTGAAGGAATGCGACTTTCTCAAAAGTTAACAAATTGGGAGCTATCAATCGGTGAAAATTATTTTTCAAACTCCCGTCGTGATTATGGTGAGTCATGCCGCGAAATAATCCTTTTGCTACAGAACCGCTATTCTTATAGCGATTGGACTAAGATCATGGCGCGATTCTAAGAGTTCGCCTAGGATTCTACGGCATTGTGCCACGATTCCAAAGTTCTGACGAGATCCATCGCGACAGAATCGCGTCTTATTTCACGGTCGCAGTGCGTTGCCTTAATGCACCTTTTTGGCGTGAGTCTCGCCATGAGTTCAGCGTGAAAGTTGACATGGGTAACAAAATAATGACTGCGAGAACAGCGAACGACAATGAACAGTGATGTATTTTGAATTCTTTTTTAAACTCAATTTGACTACAACATATACAGTAAAAGATGTTTAGAATGGAGTTAGAATAGAAAATAAAATTGAAAATAATGATGCCATACAGAGTGAAAAAATAGAACTGGATGAAAAATCTCAAAATTATTTCCATATTACTAAAATAAAATTCGATAAAGAATCTTAGATACTAACTCAAATATTTTTAATGATCTATATAATTTCTTGGAAGAAGAAAGTATGGACAGTAATCTCATACTGATAAAGAAAAGTATTTTTTCAAATTTGGCTACAAAATATTTAACAGTACCCGTCATCTCAGCTCCTATCGAGTGTACATTTTTGTAGTGTGATTTTATAATAAGGCCGCATCAATCGAAACTCTCATCTTCAACCAACATTAGGTTTGTTGACATGTGTAAAATGTAATAAAAACTTGTTATAATATTTTGTTTTCTGAAAGCACACACATAAATATATTAGTGTTTCTTTTTCTGTTGCTCATAAAATGTGTTGACACTGAGAGTAAAGCTTTCGAAGTGACGAACGACGAGACAGAAATCGCCAAAATGCAAAAACAAATAGAACTCTCAAAAGTCTTCTACTTCTGAGTTACTTGTACTTGAGTTGAGTTTTTCAATACTTATATTCGAAAAACTGTGTGTTCACCCATCTCTGTCTGCGGATTACTTTTAATTTGGCATGCGAAAGCCAGCATATGGTTCAGTCGTATCTGATAAACCTGTCTTTTAGTGTTCACTTACAATTTTTGTTAGATTAACTATGTACAAGACCGAAAACTGTTGCTATATATTTAAACAAAAAATTTACATCATATTCTGCATATTAAAATTTTCATGACATTTTATGGTTTTTAACTATTCAAACATTCAAAACTGCGAGAAATAACCATAGAATTTTACTGTTTTTACAGCAGTTACAAAAAATACTCGCCTTCTTTACTAAACTGGAACCGAACCGGTATATTGTTCGACTGTTTAACAGTTCGATTCCAACGCTACCACATAGTAGTGACGTGGAAGATATGTATGGTTCAAAAATAGCTCTGAACTGTATGTTTTACAGTTCTTCTAGCGTTTAAAGAAGATTATTAAAATTTTTTCTCTTTTTCTTAGGAATAATAAGATTATGAGAAAATCAATCAAAAATCTTCAAATTCTTCTGGGAATAACATTGTTGGCGACTTTTGTATATTTAATTCTGTTTTATTTTCAAAAAACTCTAATTCATGTCTTTCTAGTATTTGCGGTACATATTCTGGTCTAATATTTTTATGATATAATGCTATCCAATTCATATTTTTAAACCATTTATGAGATTTAATATCACTGGTACCATTTGATAGGCATCCAAAGCGTCGAGATGTATCAGATTGTAATAAATGACGAATTAAATCTCGACAATAATCACTAAAATATTTTGAAAATTTATACTCTCCTATAATAACAGAGTAGCAGCACGTCATACGATGTTCTCCAGCGATAATATGGGTTATCTACCTTTCAAAATTAAACCGCACAACTGTAAATGATCACTAGCATAAAATGGACTAAAGCCAGTATTTAACTGAAAAAAAAACAAATATGAAATTTTATCCAATTTTCTTAAGTTCATCTCCTACGTTTTTTCTAACTCACTTTGTAAATGAAAACACCAAGCGTCCGTCCACCAGTCCACTCCTTTACCTATACAAGAATGACGGCACTACGTTTTTAAATATAATATTGAACAAAAGATGTTATTTACCATATCCTTTTTGTGATAATATTTCAGGTACCAGATACTGTGCGGTACCACAGAGAGTGTAGATTCGACTGGAAACAATTTTAGCAAATCCAAAATCGGTTAATTTTGTATAACCAGTCGTACCGAATAACATGTTTTCTGGCTTCAAATTACGATGACTGTGAACAAAAAACAATGACATGTGTTGTTGTAACACTACGATTGCACTACGCAGATAATCACGACTATCTTTAATCATGATTATTGAGCTTGATTAAACTAGTAGTGTCATTACTACTTTAATCACGATTATTTTGAAAATCATGAGTAAATCATGTTCGGAAGATGATAATCTTTAATCGAACTTAACACTATCCGCCAATATTGAAAAAAGGATCGTGATAGCGGAGCTTGCATATGACTCAATAACTAATCAGCCAGAACTCTGCTTTGCCTACTAAAGAATTTTTCTGGCATTACTATACTCTGTTACAGCCTAATAAATAAATAATTAACGATAATTGTATAATAATAACTTTTTTTGTTAAAAATGAATATGTGGAGTTACAAGAATAAAACAAAAGCAAAAAGATCTTGGCGGTCTGAGAAAGAACCAAATTTGTTGTTAAATTTGGTAAAATATGAAATGATAACGAATGAAATAGCAAATCATCGGAATCGTGGCGTCCGAAAAAAATAGAAAAAGATTTATCAGCCGATGTCAGCAAATCTATAGGTCAGATTAAAGAGCGTTACTGTATTCATGTTACCCTTGGCAACATAAAAAATGAGTTTTCTCCAACATACTGAGTATTTATAGTTATGGCTATCACGAGTTAAGGATCCCCCCGCTCAGTTTTTTCTATGAGTCTATAGAGGATACTTTGAAGTATATATTTCAATACTTTTTTCGGGTACCGGACCTGTAGTTTTTCAGAAAATAATGTTTTAATTTTACTCTTAGTTTTTTGCTTCATTTTTAAAAGTTTAATAAAATTTTCAGATAGCTACATATAACTTCGGTTTTGATTTCAATCGATAGAAGACATCAGGATGTATCTACAAAAAATTCGGTCAAGCTTTGACTAAGTTATTCCGCTCTGACCTGCCCGATGGCACTTTGGATCAAGAAGTATTTTTAAAAACACCTTGAACCAAATTTCGTTCGAAGGAAACATTTTTAAGGAAAAGTGTGGGTGCGAAAGTTGTTTAGAATCAGATTCTCTGGAATATTAACGAAGAATTTTCTCAAAATTCATTAAACTCGATTTTAAATGGAAAAATACAGTTTTTAAAAATTTTAAAATTTAGTAAAATTTAATTTAAAAGTCCAGTTTAACGAATTTTAAAAAATCCCTCGTTCATATTCCGGGGAATCTGATTCTGAACAACTTTCGCACCCACACTTTTCTTTGAAAATGCTTCTTTCGACCGAAATTCGACTCAAGATGTTGTGAAAATATTTTCACTTAGCTAAAAAAAGTTTTGAATTTTTTTGTTAAAGTTTCTCAGTTTTTAGAGGACACTTCGAAGTATATGTTCTGAAGGTTTTTCGGCTTACGGACATTGTTTGGCTGAGAAAAAAACTAATTATTTAAAAAAATGTTATTAAATTTTTTAGCACGGGGCTGTTATAAAAAAATTCTAATGAATGAATTGGATTCTAAAACTCTTAAGCTGGCCGATCTTGCAGCCCGTGAAATTCTGTATCAGGTGAAGTATTGCTTAAATTCTTTTGTTGAGTCCTTATTTTGCAAATGGGTCTGTACGCTAGTAGAGTAGGCTAAATTAACCTTAATTAGTGCTAATTAGTCAATAACAGGAAGGAAAAAACAAAAAGTTTTACATATTTTCTCGTATTAAATATTCTCCACACATTTCTCTATCGATCTACACAAGAACCAAGTTCTATGATCAATGGAGGATGGACAGGAATTCTTTTAATAATAATTCCTTGTTCAAAAACTTAACAATATTTTTTAAAGTAATTAATTTTTTTCTCAGCCCAATAATGCCAGTAAGCCGAGAAAACTTCATGACATATACTTCAAAGTAACCTCTACAAACTGGGAACGTTAGACGAAAATCTAAATGCCTCCCTTACATCACAATTATCTTTTTAATCGTGATTAGTGCGATCACACACATTTCTGTTCAACGCGATTAAATATTGCTAATCATAATAATGATCCAGAATAATTTCGGTTACACTAGAAAATGCTTAATCGTAATTATATTTTAATCACGATTGAAGGTAATCGGGATTATTTGCGTAGTGTAAGAAAGAGTAGGACTAAAAAATTATCTCTTACGAAATATCGAGTGTTTGTAAATATTCGAATGCCCATAGTACTTGACCACAATAGAACTTTGAGATGGTTCCAGAAAAGCGTCTATTTTTTTATTTTCGCATATGTTGGAATATCTAGATTAAAAGAGAGAAATGAAAAGTTAAAAAATAAACTGCATTTTATTTTACTTATTGAATATTGCAAAAATTTATACACAGTGTATATATTTCATAATCAGTGATTACTGTGTGAAGAAGTACATACTGAATAGTTAAAAAAGTAAAATACTGAAGAGTATGTCAGAAATCTACTTCTGAAAAGTATCTGAGGTTTGTTTCAGGAAACTCCATGTATTTGAATGAGCCGGTCGGAATTACCTCAATCAAGAAAAATTAAAAAATCAGAAATCTAAACACGTCTTATTGTATTTTAATTAACTTCATTAGAATAGGTGCTAATAGTTTCAATTTTCCCAAGCATCAAAAAAATAATCTAGTATCGCCCAATTCATCTACATTATTAGATTTTTACTCGATTACAACTACTGTGTAACGACAGTGGAAATCTAGTAACTGGGCGATTATTAGATTTTTTTCTAGTTGCAACTATCGATTTTTCGTCCGATAATCGATCGATTTAACTATTACTAGATGCACCTGCAGACGCATGTAGTTAAATGCCCCTTTTCCTACTAGTAATCTAGATGGCAACTAGTCGTGTATCGCCTGATTACAGACGAAATGTATCTAAATTTTTCCCATAGGTGATATTTGCTTAGGGAACTATGGTGGCAGATGGAAGAGGTGTAGCAATTTCTGACAGTATTGTTGCTGAAAGTTGAGGCTGTATAATGTTTGGTTCAAGTTGAATTGCATTTGATGCTGTTGATGACAAATGATGTTTTTGTAACAGTACTGATTGCTTATCTCGAAGTTGTTGAGGGAGGTTCGATGACATCGGTGATCGAAGTGCAGGTATCTGCATTCTTTTTTAGGACTGATGGAGGTTACGTTGATAATAAGAATCACGTGCAGAGCAAATGACCATTTATAACAACTATTTTATACAGGAAATGAGATAAACTAGGATTCTCATTTCATTTTCAAATTTCTGATCTCTCATCTGTAAACTCGAATTTCGATGCTATTAAACAAAGAATTTAAACTAAATATGCATACGCACCTTTGCTTAATTGATGTTTATTCAAATTATAGCCTAATGTTGAATACATACTGTATTACAATTTTTTTCTATTTTACAACAAAAAACGTCACATTTAAAGTAAAAAAACATTTGTATTTATATTGATGAGTGGAAATGTTTGTGAAATATACAAATTTAAGTCAAGAGTGCGCTGTTTTAACGATTTTATCACACTGTAAAAAGAAAAAGTGCTCTGGTAATACACATTTCTTTGTGATAGTTCGAGCACAGATTTTTGGTATACTTAATGACATTGCTACGAATATGCCTCTCTTTTATGCTTATCATTACTTTTTCATGTCTAAAATTTATGTCCGATACATCGCATGTGTATTCTACAAAGCATATAAGAGGTAACGCATTTAATGGACTTTTTCCCTAGCCAAGACATTCAAACACACTCGATTTGCTCTGGACTCTAGTGGACGCTTTATCCGTTTATCCCGTCAATAAGATTTGAGAGATACAGTATTTCTCGGTAGATGCATGAACTAAGGTAGATATAGATTTGGGACTTACGTTTGAATATAGAGGAGATAATCCGTTGCTTTATCGTGTGCTGGCAAACGCATAGATTCGTAGTAAACTACGAGCTTAAATTCAGTTCTTTTTATAGATACATAACTAAAATGTCCTCTATCTAACACTGAAAAGTCGGCTTTTAGTCAAGTGCTATTCAAAAAACATTCTTGTTCATTCTTTTGCTACATGGAAAGCAGATTCACTGTACCTTCCAGCACCCTATGGCTTTTCGCCCGTGACATATTAGAGAAGATGTATATCAGAGTAAATCTATTGATAATCAATAGTGCTGTTTCTACTCTATAAACTTTCGTTCTTTCTCAACTCCTTTAAATCTCATGGAGTGACCTTTCCCAAAAATTTTTAAAGTACTTTGTGACTTTGTGATCTTCTTTCATCACACGGGCACAGTTAGAGACCAATATATCAATTTTTCCAAACTATATCCTACACAATGAATGTTCGAGCAACACATTATTTATTTGTTTAAACTCACTTCCTTATCTTTATTATAACAACAGAAAATATATATAGTCTTGAAACTAAAAAAAAGGAAAAAGAGAATGCAATCGCCGCATACGCGCACACACACACACGCACACACGTACAAAGAAAGTAAAATAAAATTTAATCTAAACTTTTTTATTTTCCAACAAATCGAGCTAGCTCATTACATGTTGGTTGAAGTTGAACAAATGTGAGAATAATAACAACAGAAAAAAGAACAACAAGTAAAAAAAGAAAGAAACAAGCAAAGTGATGTAAAGTTAAAGAATTTATCATATCAAGGGAAACGTTTTTCTTTTGTTTCAGGAATCTCCTAGGAGTACAGTTCTACTTTGGTGAGAAAAGAAGGATCGCACATCATTGGGTCCAGCGAAAATGTTCTTCATCCTTTAAAAATTTTAAAACAGAAAGGTATAGAATTTTAATTTTATCTTTTACGAGAGAGAGCATGTCGCTGTTTTTAAAAAGTAAATGATCTATTATTATGTCGGTTATTTGTAGTATAGATTGAAACGTCTTTAACAGTTCTGAACGTTGTGCTATATACTTTGCGCAAAAAAGGAAAAAGTGAGATGATGATTCGCTTTTATATCCGCACTCACACTCGGGGATAGCCACTAAATGTCTTTTA